TTCTTTCTTCTTCCCATTTCTTTCTTTCTTTCTTTCTTTCTTTCTTTCTTTCTTTCTTTCTTTCTTTCTAATCTGAATTTCTTTCTTTCTTTCTTTCTTTCTTTCTTTCTTTCTTTCTTTCTTTCTTTCTTTAATAGGGTTCTTTCTTTCTTTCTTTCTTTCTTTCTTTCTTTCTTTCTTTCTTTCTTTCTCACCCAGTATTCTTTCTTTCTTTCTTTCTTTCTTTCTTTCTTTCTTTCTTTCTTTCTTTCTGAAATATATTTCTTTCTTTCTTTCTTTCTTTCTTTCTTTCTTTCTTTCTTTCTTTCTTTCTTTGTCTACGTTCTTTCTTTCTTTCTTTCTTTCTTTCTTTCTTTCTTTCTTTCTTTCTTTCTTAACTATTTTTCTTTCTTTCTTTCTTTCTTTCTTTCTTTCTTTCTTTCTTTCTTTCTTTCTTAGAATGATTTCTTTCTTTCTTTCTTTCTTTCTTTCTTTCTTTCTTTCTTTCTTTCTTTCTATTGCACGTTTCTTTCTTTCTTTCTTTCTTTCTTTCTTTCTTTCTTTCTTTCTTTCTTTCTCTGTAGTACTTCTTTCTTTCTTTCTTTCTTTCTTTCTTTCTTTCTTTCTTTCTTTCTTTCTTCAAACAGATTCTTTCTTTCTTTCTTTCTTTCTTTCTTTCTTTCTTTCTTTCTTTCTTTCTGAAAGACTATTCTTTCTTTCTTTCTTTCTTTCTTTCTTTCTTTCTTTCTTTCTTTCTTTCTGTTTAGACATTCTTTCTTTCTTTCTTTCTTTCTTTCTTTCTTTCTTTCTTTCTTTCTTTCTTACAGCAGGTTCTTTCTTTCTTTCTTTCTTTCTTTCTTTCTTTCTTTCTTTCTTTCTTTCTGAAGCCTAATTCTTTCTTTCTTTCTTTCTTTCTTTCTTTCTTTCTTTCTTTCTTTCTTTCTCAAAATAGGTTCTTTCTTTCTTTCTTTCTTTCTTTCTTTCTTTCTTTCTTTCTTTCTTTCTTCAAAAACCTTCTTTCTTTCTTTCTTTCTTTCTTTCTTTCTTTCTTTCTTTCTTTCTTTCTCAATATTGGTTCTTTCTTTCTTTCTTTCTTTCTTTCTTTCTTTCTTTCTTTCTTTCTTTCTGACTGAGGATTCTTTCTTTCTTTCTTTCTTTCTTTCTTTCTTTCTTTCTTTCTTTCTTTCTAAAAGTGAATTCTTTCTTTCTTTCTTTCTTTCTTTCTTTCTTTCTTTCTTTCTTTCTTTCTTGATTATCATTCTTTCTTTCTTTCTTTCTTTCTTTCTTTCTTTCTTTCTTTCTTTCTTTCTACGTGACAGTTCTTTCTTTCTTTCTTTCTTTCTTTCTTTCTTTCTTTCTTTCTTTCTTTCTGTTAAAGAGTTCTTTCTTTCTTTCTTTCTTTCTTTCTTTCTTTCTTTCTTTCTTTCTTTCTGTTATATATTTCTTTCTTTCTTTCTTTCTTTCTTTCTTTCTTTCTTTCTTTCTTTCTTTCTTGCTTATGCTTCTTTCTTTCTTTCTTTCTTTCTTTCTTTCTTTCTTTCTTTCTTTCTTTCTCAGCAAGCTTTCTTTCTTTCTTTCTTTCTTTCTTTCTTTCTTTCTTTCTTTCTTTCTTTCTAAGTTCTAGTTCTTTCTTTCTTTCTTTCTTTCTTTCTTTCTTTCTTTCTTTCTTTCTTTCTAACTATATATTCTTTCTTTCTTTCTTTCTTTCTTTCTTTCTTTCTTTCTTTCTTTCTTTCTCAAATGAAGTTCTTTCTTTCTTTCTTTCTTTCTTTCTTTCTTTCTTTCTTTCTTTCTTTCTCCAAGGCTCTTCTTTCTTTCTTTCTTTCTTTCTTTCTTTCTTTCTTTCTTTCTTTCTTTCTAGCTATGGTTTCTTTCTTTCTTTCTTTCTTTCTTTCTTTCTTTCTTTCTTTCTTTCTTTCTGTAATTAGCTTCTTTCTTTCTTTCTTTCTTTCTTTCTTTCTTTCTTTCTTTCTTTCTTTCTACATGTTCATTCTTTCTTTCTTTCTTTCTTTCTTTCTTTCTTTCTTTCTTTCTTTCTTTCTGATCATGGATTCTTTCTTTCTTTCTTTCTTTCTTTCTTTCTTTCTTTCTTTCTTTCTTTCTATCTTGTCCTTCTTTCTTTCTTTCTTTCTTTCTTTCTTTCTTTCTTTCTTTCTTTCTTTCTAAAAGTCTCTTCTTTCTTTCTTTCTTTCTTTCTTTCTTTCTTTCTTTCTTTCTTTCTTTCTACATCACCATTCTTTCTTTCTTTCTTTCTTTCTTTCTTTCTTTCTTTCTTTCTTTCTTTCTAATGCATCCTTCTTTCTTTCTTTCTTTCTTTCTTTCTTTCTTTCTTTCTTTCTTTCTTTCTATTGAGTTATTCTTTCTTTCTTTCTTTCTTTCTTTCTTTCTTTCTTTCTTTCTTTCTTTCTATGAATTCTTTCTTTCTTTCTTTCTTTCTTTCTTTCTTTCTTTCTTTCTTTCTTTCTTTCTATCAGAATATTCTTTCTTTCTTTCTTTCTTTCTTTCTTTCTTTCTTTCTTTCTTTCTTTCTAAAACCAGATTCTTTCTTTCTTTCTTTCTTTCTTTCTTTCTTTCTTTCTTTCTTTCTTTCTAAAATCCTCTTCTTTCTTTCTTTCTTTCTTTCTTTCTTTCTTTCTTTCTTTCTTTCTTTCTACAACCAAGTTCTTTCTTTCTTTCTTTCTTTCTTTCTTTCTTTCTTTCTTTCTTTCTTTCTTTGAATATATTCTTTCTTTCTTTCTTTCTTTCTTTCTTTCTTTCTTTCTTTCTTTCTTTCTAGCATTCGTTTCTTTCTTTCTTTCTTTCTTTCTTTCTTTCTTTCTTTCTTTCTTTCTTTCTGGGAACTTTTTCTTTCTTTCTTTCTTTCTTTCTTTCTTTCTTTCTTTCTTTCTTTCTTTCTATGGTGAACTTCTTTCTTTCTTTCTTTCTTTCTTTCTTTCTTTCTTTCTTTCTTTCTTTCTCCACTTATATTCTTTCTTTCTTTCTTTCTTTCTTTCTTTCTTTCTTTCTTTCTTTCTTTCTTAAAAGATATTCTTTCTTTCTTTCTTTCTTTCTTTCTTTCTTTCTTTCTTTCTTTCTTTCTTTGTACACATTCTTTCTTTCTTTCTTTCTTTCTTTCTTTCTTTCTTTCTTTCTTTCTTTCTAGGGTGCAGTTCTTTCTTTCTTTCTTTCTTTCTTTCTTTCTTTCTTTCTTTCTTTCTTTCTAGAACCTGATTCTTTCTTTCTTTCTTTCTTTCTTTCTTTCTTTCTTTCTTTCTTTCTTTCTAGTGAGCAATTCTTTCTTTCTTTCTTTCTTTCTTTCTTTCTTTCTTTCTTTCTTTCTTTCTAAAGACAATTTCTTTCTTTCTTTCTTTCTTTCTTTCTTTCTTTCTTTCTTTCTTTCTTTCTTTAAGGTGGTTCTTTCTTTCTTTCTTTCTTTCTTTCTTTCTTTCTTTCTTTCTTTCTTTCTCTTGGGTTTTTCTTTCTTTCTTTCTTTCTTTCTTTCTTTCTTTCTTTCTTTCTTTCTTTCTCAAGAGCAGTTCTTTCTTTCTTTCTTTCTTTCTTTCTTTCTTTCTTTCTTTCTTTCTTTCTAAAAACTTATTCTTTCTTTCTTTCTTTCTTTCTTTCTTTCTTTCTTTCTTTCTTTCTTTCTTTTTTTAATTTCTTTCTTTCTTTCTTTCTTTCTTTCTTTCTTTCTTTCTTTCTTTCTTTCTAGAAAATATTTCTTTCTTTCTTTCTTTCTTTCTTTCTTTCTTTCTTTCTTTCTTTCTTTCTCTTGGCTTCTTCTTTCTTTCTTTCTTTCTTTCTTTCTTTCTTTCTTTCTTTCTTTCTTTCTGAGCACCACTTCTTTCTTTCTTTCTTTCTTTCTTTCTTTCTTTCTTTCTTTCTTTCTTTCTTTAAACAGCTTCTTTCTTTCTTTCTTTCTTTCTTTCTTTCTTTCTTTCTTTCTTTCTTTCTGTACCAAATTTCTTTCTTTCTTTCTTTCTTTCTTTCTTTCTTTCTTTCTTTCTTTCTTTCTTTTCAATACTTCTTTCTTTCTTTCTTTCTTTCTTTCTTTCTTTCTTTCTTTCTTTCTTTCTTGATCTAGTTTCTTTCTTTCTTTCTTTCTTTCTTTCTTTCTTTCTTTCTTTCTTTCTTTCTATAATTAATTTCTTTCTTTCTTTCTTTCTTTCTTTCTTTCTTTCTTTCTTTCTTTCTTTCTACTGTGACCTTCTTTCTTTCTTTCTTTCTTTCTTTCTTTCTTTCTTTCTTTCTTTCTTTCTACAAAAATTTTCTTTCTTTCTTTCTTTCTTTCTTTCTTTCTTTCTTTCTTTCTTTCTTTCTTTGAAAAAATTCTTTCTTTCTTTCTTTCTTTCTTTCTTTCTTTCTTTCTTTCTTTCTTTCTAGACTAACATTCTTTCTTTCTTTCTTTCTTTCTTTCTTTCTTTCTTTCTTTCTTTCTTTCTCTTTTGAACTTCTTTCTTTCTTTCTTTCTTTCTTTCTTTCTTTCTTTCTTTCTTTCTTTCTTATTTACAATTCTTTCTTTCTTTCTTTCTTTCTTTCTTTCTTTCTTTCTTTCTTTCTTTCTACTTAATGATTCTTTCTTTCTTTCTTTCTTTCTTTCTTTCTTTCTTTCTTTCTTTCTTTCTCTTCAAAGATTCTTTCTTTCTTTCTTTCTTTCTTTCTTTCTTTCTTTCTTTCTTTCTTTCTATGAAGGAATTCTTTCTTTCTTTCTTTCTTTCTTTCTTTCTTTCTTTCTTTCTTTCTTTCTAGAAAGATATTCTTTCTTTCTTTCTTTCTTTCTTTCTTTCTTTCTTTCTTTCTTTCTTTCTGTGGGAATGTTCTTTCTTTCTTTCTTTCTTTCTTTCTTTCTTTCTTTCTTTCTTTCTTTCTCATAGACTTTTCTTTCTTTCTTTCTTTCTTTCTTTCTTTCTTTCTTTCTTTCTTTCTTTCTCATCTGTTTTTCTTTCTTTCTTTCTTTCTTTCTTTCTTTCTTTCTTTCTTTCTTTCTTTCTAGCTAGAAATTCTTTCTTTCTTTCTTTCTTTCTTTCTTTCTTTCTTTCTTTCTTTCTTTCTAGCAATATATTCTTTCTTTCTTTCTTTCTTTCTTTCTTTCTTTCTTTCTTTCTTTCTTTCTACATGTATATTCTTTCTTTCTTTCTTTCTTTCTTTCTTTCTTTCTTTCTTTCTTTCTTTCTATCATAGAATTCTTTCTTTCTTTCTTTCTTTCTTTCTTTCTTTCTTTCTTTCTTTCTTTCTGGCAGGGGTTTCTTTCTTTCTTTCTTTCTTTCTTTCTTTCTTTCTTTCTTTCTTTCTTTCTTCTGTGATTTTCTTTCTTTCTTTCTTTCTTTCTTTCTTTCTTTCTTTCTTTCTTTCTTTCTCATGAGTTATTCTTTCTTTCTTTCTTTCTTTCTTTCTTTCTTTCTTTCTTTCTTTCTTTCTGCAGCTTTGTTCTTTCTTTCTTTCTTTCTTTCTTTCTTTCTTTCTTTCTTTCTTTCTTTCTAAATAACTCTTCTTTCTTTCTTTCTTTCTTTCTTTCTTTCTTTCTTTCTTTCTTTCTTTCTAATTATTTTTTCTTTCTTTCTTTCTTTCTTTCTTTCTTTCTTTCTTTCTTTCTTTCTTTCTAGAATGCTTTTCTTTCTTTCTTTCTTTCTTTCTTTCTTTCTTTCTTTCTTTCTTTCTTTCTTTCCTCATCTTCTTTCTTTCTTTCTTTCTTTCTTTCTTTCTTTCTTTCTTTCTTTCTTTCTAGGACAAACTTCTTTCTTTCTTTCTTTCTTTCTTTCTTTCTTTCTTTCTTTCTTTCTTTCTTGCTGAAGCTTCTTTCTTTCTTTCTTTCTTTCTTTCTTTCTTTCTTTCTTTCTTTCTTTCTAACCTCTGATTCTTTCTTTCTTTCTTTCTTTCTTTCTTTCTTTCTTTCTTTCTTTCTTTCTGGGGGCAATTTCTTTCTTTCTTTCTTTCTTTCTTTCTTTCTTTCTTTCTTTCTTTCTTTCTAAAGTTACTTTCTTTCTTTCTTTCTTTCTTTCTTTCTTTCTTTCTTTCTTTCTTTCTTTCTATTGTGGGATTCTTTCTTTCTTTCTTTCTTTCTTTCTTTCTTTCTTTCTTTCTTTCTTTCTGGCTATCAATTCTTTCTTTCTTTCTTTCTTTCTTTCTTTCTTTCTTTCTTTCTTTCTTTCTAAACGAGGTTTCTTTCTTTCTTTCTTTCTTTCTTTCTTTCTTTCTTTCTTTCTTTCTTTCTTTAATCTTGTTCTTTCTTTCTTTCTTTCTTTCTTTCTTTCTTTCTTTCTTTCTTTCTTTCTTTTATTTTGTTCTTTCTTTCTTTCTTTCTTTCTTTCTTTCTTTCTTTCTTTCTTTCTTTCTTTGTTTGGGTTCTTTCTTTCTTTCTTTCTTTCTTTCTTTCTTTCTTTCTTTCTTTCTTTCTGACCATGTTTTCTTTCTTTCTTTCTTTCTTTCTTTCTTTCTTTCTTTCTTTCTTTCTTTCTTTTTTATCTTTCTTTCTTTCTTTCTTTCTTTCTTTCTTTCTTTCTTTCTTTCTTTCTTTCTTGAGATAATTTCTTTCTTTCTTTCTTTCTTTCTTTCTTTCTTTCTTTCTTTCTTTCTTTCTAGCTTGTCTTTCTTTCTTTCTTTCTTTCTTTCTTTCTTTCTTTCTTTCTTTCTTTCTTTCTTTGTAATGGTTCTTTCTTTCTTTCTTTCTTTCTTTCTTTCTTTCTTTCTTTCTTTCTTTCTCTATCAGAATTCTTTCTTTCTTTCTTTCTTTCTTTCTTTCTTTCTTTCTTTCTTTCTTTCTGATATGTGCTTCTTTCTTTCTTTCTTTCTTTCTTTCTTTCTTTCTTTCTTTCTTTCTTTCTTCTTTTCAATTCTTTCTTTCTTTCTTTCTTTCTTTCTTTCTTTCTTTCTTTCTTTCTTTCTACAGATGAATTCTTTCTTTCTTTCTTTCTTTCTTTCTTTCTTTCTTTCTTTCTTTCTTTCTAGTTGGAGTTTCTTTCTTTCTTTCTTTCTTTCTTTCTTTCTTTCTTTCTTTCTTTCTTTCTTGGATTAACTTCTTTCTTTCTTTCTTTCTTTCTTTCTTTCTTTCTTTCTTTCTTTCTTTCTTTAATCTAATTCTTTCTTTCTTTCTTTCTTTCTTTCTTTCTTTCTTTCTTTCTTTCTTTCTCAGTGGTCATTCTTTCTTTCTTTCTTTCTTTCTTTCTTTCTTTCTTTCTTTCTTTCTTTCTTTCTGGAGTTTCTTTCTTTCTTTCTTTCTTTCTTTCTTTCTTTCTTTCTTTCTTTCTTTCTCGTGCAAGGTTCTTTCTTTCTTTCTTTCTTTCTTTCTTTCTTTCTTTCTTTCTTTCTTTCTGCTAAATGGTTCTTTCTTTCTTTCTTTCTTTCTTTCTTTCTTTCTTTCTTTCTTTCTTTCTACCAGAGAATTCTTTCTTTCTTTCTTTCTTTCTTTCTTTCTTTCTTTCTTTCTTTCTTTCTAACTAAATATTCTTTCTTTCTTTCTTTCTTTCTTTCTTTCTTTCTTTCTTTCTTTCTTTCTCCTTGTGTTTTCTTTCTTTCTTTCTTTCTTTCTTTCTTTCTTTCTTTCTTTCTTTCTTTCTGCTGTAATGTTCTTTCTTTCTTTCTTTCTTTCTTTCTTTCTTTCTTTCTTTCTTTCTTTCTTTTGGAATGTTCTTTCTTTCTTTCTTTCTTTCTTTCTTTCTTTCTTTCTTTCTTTCTTTCTTTTTCCGAATTCTTTCTTTCTTTCTTTCTTTCTTTCTTTCTTTCTTTCTTTCTTTCTTTCTTGGCTGAGCTTCTTTCTTTCTTTCTTTCTTTCTTTCTTTCTTTCTTTCTTTCTTTCTTTCTGATTCTTCTTTCTTTCTTTCTTTCTTTCTTTCTTTCTTTCTTTCTTTCTTTCTTTCTTTCTTCCTTAATTTTCTTTCTTTCTTTCTTTCTTTCTTTCTTTCTTTCTTTCTTTCTTTCTTTCTTTTATAAGATTCTTTCTTTCTTTCTTTCTTTCTTTCTTTCTTTCTTTCTTTCTTTCTTTCTATATGAGGATTCTTTCTTTCTTTCTTTCTTTCTTTCTTTCTTTCTTTCTTTCTTTCTTTCTGGCAAGAGATTCTTTCTTTCTTTCTTTCTTTCTTTCTTTCTTTCTTTCTTTCTTTCTTTCTATAAACCTCTTCTTTCTTTCTTTCTTTCTTTCTTTCTTTCTTTCTTTCTTTCTTTCTTTCTTAATCAAGCTTCTTTCTTTCTTTCTTTCTTTCTTTCTTTCTTTCTTTCTTTCTTTCTTTCTTTACACATATTCTTTCTTTCTTTCTTTCTTTCTTTCTTTCTTTCTTTCTTTCTTTCTTTCTCCAAAGGATTTCTTTCTTTCTTTCTTTCTTTCTTTCTTTCTTTCTTTCTTTCTTTCTTTCTTAATAAATTTTCTTTCTTTCTTTCTTTCTTTCTTTCTTTCTTTCTTTCTTTCTTTCTTTCTTGGATTTTCTTCTTTCTTTCTTTCTTTCTTTCTTTCTTTCTTTCTTTCTTTCTTTCTTTCTTACTATGTATTCTTTCTTTCTTTCTTTCTTTCTTTCTTTCTTTCTTTCTTTCTTTCTTTCTGGTAAAGTCTTCTTTCTTTCTTTCTTTCTTTCTTTCTTTCTTTCTTTCTTTCTTTCTTTCTTGGCAATGCTTCTTTCTTTCTTTCTTTCTTTCTTTCTTTCTTTCTTTCTTTCTTTCTTTCTGCTGAGGAATTCTTTCTTTCTTTCTTTCTTTCTTTCTTTCTTTCTTTCTTTCTTTCTTTCTCTGGTCCCATTCTTTCTTTCTTTCTTTCTTTCTTTCTTTCTTTCTTTCTTTCTTTCTTTCTTAAGACCCTTTCTTTCTTTCTTTCTTTCTTTCTTTCTTTCTTTCTTTCTTTCTTTCTTTCTATGAGAAAGTTCTTTCTTTCTTTCTTTCTTTCTTTCTTTCTTTCTTTCTTTCTTTCTTTCTTGTCTGAACTTCTTTCTTTCTTTCTTTCTTTCTTTCTTTCTTTCTTTCTTTCTTTCTTTCTCTTAGGCTTTTCTTTCTTTCTTTCTTTCTTTCTTTCTTTCTTTCTTTCTTTCTTTCTTTCTAGTTTAGATTTCTTTCTTTCTTTCTTTCTTTCTTTCTTTCTTTCTTTCTTTCTTTCTTTCTGATCTTAAATTCTTTCTTTCTTTCTTTCTTTCTTTCTTTCTTTCTTTCTTTCTTTCTTTCTGCGCCTGTCTTCTTTCTTTCTTTCTTTCTTTCTTTCTTTCTTTCTTTCTTTCTTTCTTTCTAGTAACATTTTCTTTCTTTCTTTCTTTCTTTCTTTCTTTCTTTCTTTCTTTCTTTCTTTCTGAAGGGTGGTTCTTTCTTTCTTTCTTTCTTTCTTTCTTTCTTTCTTTCTTTCTTTCTTTCTATATCAACTTTCTTTCTTTCTTTCTTTCTTTCTTTCTTTCTTTCTTTCTTTCTTTCTTTCTTAATTGTTATTCTTTCTTTCTTTCTTTCTTTCTTTCTTTCTTTCTTTCTTTCTTTCTTTCTTTTAGGAATTTCTTTCTTTCTTTCTTTCTTTCTTTCTTTCTTTCTTTCTTTCTTTCTTTCTATTAAGTAATTCTTTCTTTCTTTCTTTCTTTCTTTCTTTCTTTCTTTCTTTCTTTCTTTCTACATATCTATTCTTTCTTTCTTTCTTTCTTTCTTTCTTTCTTTCTTTCTTTCTTTCTTTCTATTATTAATTTCTTTCTTTCTTTCTTTCTTTCTTTCTTTCTTTCTTTCTTTCTTTCTTTCTATCATAGAATTCTTTCTTTCTTTCTTTCTTTCTTTCTTTCTTTCTTTCTTTCTTTCTTTCTGAAATGCAATTCTTTCTTTCTTTCTTTCTTTCTTTCTTTCTTTCTTTCTTTCTTTCTTTCTAGGAAAAAATTCTTTCTTTCTTTCTTTCTTTCTTTCTTTCTTTCTTTCTTTCTTTCTTTCTAAAATAAACTTCTTTCTTTCTTTCTTTCTTTCTTTCTTTCTTTCTTTCTTTCTTTCTTTCTTTTTTTTTTTTCTTTCTTTCTTTCTTTCTTTCTTTCTTTCTTTCTTTCTTTCTTTCTTTCTTTGGAATTCTTCTTTCTTTCTTTCTTTCTTTCTTTCTTTCTTTCTTTCTTTCTTTCTTTCTAAAAAGAAATTCTTTCTTTCTTTCTTTCTTTCTTTCTTTCTTTCTTTCTTTCTTTCTTTCTGCAATGTCGTTCTTTCTTTCTTTCTTTCTTTCTTTCTTTCTTTCTTTCTTTCTTTCTTTCTGGACCTCTGTTCTTTCTTTCTTTCTTTCTTTCTTTCTTTCTTTCTTTCTTTCTTTCTTTCTTGAGAAAAATTCTTTCTTTCTTTCTTTCTTTCTTTCTTTCTTTCTTTCTTTCTTTCTTTCTCCCTGCCCGTTCTTTCTTTCTTTCTTTCTTTCTTTCTTTCTTTCTTTCTTTCTTTCTTTCTTTACAGTTCTTCTTTCTTTCTTTCTTTCTTTCTTTCTTTCTTTCTTTCTTTCTTTCTTTCTGAAAATCAGTTCTTTCTTTCTTTC